CCCATATAGTATATACTTAGACCCTAAAGTACCTATATAGGGACCCCTTGAAGGCTTAAGTATCGACTATAAAGGTACATGGAGCCTTTGGGAAGGCAGGGCCCAGTTGATGGTTGTGTGCAGATTTTGCGTTCCTTTTCTCCCTTGCCTAAACCCCTCAGGGTTTAGGATTTAGGGTTTAGGGTCTAGGGTTTAGGGTTTAGGGTTCAGGGTCTAGGGTTTAGGGTTTGGGGCTAAGAGTAGGCAAAAAAGTGGCAACTAAACCTACAGAAGGCCATTATTCTACATACCTTTGGGCTGAACCCTAAACCCCTAATATATAGGCAGCCTGAAATGAACCCTGAAAGAAGCCCTGATGGAAACAATTGAAGAAACGTTCAAAAGCAAAGTCCCGATGCTTTATATTGAACCCTAAACCCTTAGCCCCAAACCCTAAACCCTAAACCCCAAACCCCAAACCCTAAACCCTAAACCCCAAACCCCAAACCCGAAACCCTAAACCCCAAACCCCAAACCCTAAGCCCTAAACGGAGGCCATGAGTATCCTCGGAGGGCCCCTGCTTGAGGATGCAGATATCGAGGACTGCGTTTGGGTATACACTAGTATCTGGGTTTGACAGGGTTCCTGCAAGGGTTCTTTAAGGGATCTGTGGGGTTTAGGATTTTAGCCTAAACCCTAAACCCTAAACCCTAAACCCTAAACCCTAAACCCTAAACCCTAAACCCTAAACCCTATATGAGGGATCTGTGGGATTTAGGAGTTTAGGGTTTTAAGGCTTCTAGTCTAGAAGAAGTTCTAGAACTTATTTTAGGGTTTAGGGTTTAGGGTTTAGGGTTTAGGGTTTAGGGTTGAACTTATGGTTTGGGGAATAGACTTTCGGGTTTAGGCTGACGGGCTTAGGCTTTGGGGTATCTACTTGCAGGGCTTAGGGTGTAGGATTTAGGCTTTGTTTTTAGGATTTCGCAGAAATTTACAACTCAAAACCAAGGTCGCTTTCAGAACAAGACTCACAAAGGGTCCTAAGTACCTATGTAGTAGAATGTAAGGGTTCTGTATTAGACATCGCTTGTTTGATTTGGAACAGTATCGCCCCATATATAGTTACTTAGGACCCTTTGGGACTGGTACTGGCATGCATCCTCCGATGCTCCTTCAGTTCCAGCGAGGTTTAGGGTTTAGGGTTTAGGGTTTAGGGTTTAGGGTTGGGGTTTAGGGTTTAGGGTTTAGGGTTTAGGGTTTAGGGTTTAGCGAGGGCTCCGCCTACCTTAGCGGCCAGAGCACGGACAGGTTCAGACTCTTCCCGAGCCCATGCCCGTCAAGTTGACGTTTGTCCACTTCCAGACGGCTGAGGTGGATGCTGCGGTCCGGTGCCGGAGATCAAAATCCCTGCCGATTCTGTAACTGTCGAGTAGATTGCTTTTGCACACCGAGCTGCAGTTTCGCAGGCTCACATGCTGCAGCTCTGCCAGAACGCGCTCCAGGAGCAGACCCAGAACAGCAGAGCCCTGGAGAGCGCTCTTTTACGGCACGGAGCACGGACAATGCCGGATCCCGCCAAGAAGCCATGAGGCAGCATTCCGCTAGTCTCGCTGTAGGGTGCAATACTTATACAATGTGCATATGTATACTCCTATATGTACTACCACATCTTTTTCTATGCACACAGAGACAGGGAGATGACGTGGAAAATATTCGAGGAAGCAGACAGCTGTGCTTGTTAATCTAAGCCTTTCTGTAAAATTCAATCCGGGTGTCCCTACATGCCCTACTTCGTATAGTTTATACTGAGGGTCATTGTGGTACACTCACATACATGCAAGTTGGATTTAGTGGACCTGTTCCGACCGATGCGTGTCATAAGTTGCTTTCCATGTCCACTGATGCTAATAGCTTAATCCCTAAACTGGCCCTAAACCCTGAATCCCAAATCCTCTAAACCTTAATATCCTTGTGAGGCCGCCGAGATCCGATCTCCAGGCCCGTGAGACCTCGCTAAACCTTAGGCACTAAGCCCTAAAACCGTAGTATGCGGTTTAGGGTTTAGGGTTTTTGGGCTTTGGGTTTAGGGCCTAGGGGTTTAGTAGGGTTTAGGGTTTTTAGAGCAGTTTAGGGATTTAGGGTAACCGTAGACTGTGCTCTGAGAGGATCTTCTGAAAAAGTACCCGCGCTTCAAAGGCCCATCGGCGAGGTTTAGGGTTTAGGGTTTAGGGGTTCGGGTTTAGGGTTTAGGGTTTAGTGTTTTTATAGGGATATCCATACCTTATAGGGCTTCAGTATAAGGCTAGGGGGGTTGTATCGGATATCCCTATCCAAATGTTTGCTTATGTGCCTTTCAGGGCCTAGGTATGCATAATAACCTGTGGCCCAACATACTTAGCTTTTCAAGGGAGTTATACAACACATATAAAGAAACCATACCAAGTACTTTAACGCCCGATCTTGCGGATCCGCAGGACCCAAACGATTAGGTATTTGGGCTTACGATAGCCATTCTAAGAAGATTTCCACAAAGCTGCAAACAATCCTTTTTTCGTACTGCATAGCATGGTATAGGACCTCATCAGATCTTTTAGAGCCTGTGACGGTAGGTGCTTGGACCCTCAGGCTGAGGTTTTGCTGCCCAGGAAATCCAATTCCTTCTGTACGGGCTCTGAACCCTAAACCCCAAACCCCAAATCCCAAACCCCAAACCCTAAAGTCCCCCAACCCTAACTCTTTTTGCATCGAAGACCGCACTGCGGCTGAATAGGGCCAAAGCCCCAAAGCCTCAAACCGTGTTATGTTCCTGAACTTGGGTAGTGCAGCATTTGTTCCGTCTGATCTTCGATTGTTGGTGTGTGCCCGATCCGGGTCCTTATAGGGCCATTATAGGGGAAGCAAAACCTAAAACGGCCTAAGGATGTTTGGTCCAGGGGGTTTGTTCTTTCCGGTCTGCTGTTTCAGGTTTAGGGTTTACCCTTAGCATCAAAATATCCCAAAAGCCTTATTTAATGGGGTCTTTGGGCCCAAAAGCCTCAAAATATGAGTCCTTTGAGGGCCGAAACCCTAAACCCTAAAGCCAAGCAATCCCGTACATGATAACTCAACAGGTTTCGCAAGGGTTCCGGGTGTAAGGCTTGAGGTTTCGGCTTTAGGGCTTCCAGTAAGGCTGTGTAGGATACTATGCGCCTTCGCCGAGACGAAACCTTGCGCAGAACTTCGTTACCCTCAGCCTTACCAGGGCCCGTTAAAGCCTTCCTTTTTCGGGTTCCTTAATGTGATTTCCTTATATAACCCACAGGCTCCATACAGACTACCATTCTGGAACTACGTCCCGAAAGCCATAATGAATATGGTCTCTTGATTATGGTAGTATCTTTGGAGCCTTTAGGAAAGTTCTTAAAAAGGTAGGTTATTTGCGGTCCACGTTAACCTTAAACCCTAAACTCTAAACCCTCAGCCCTCAACCCTTAACCGATGTTGCCTTTCTTCTGCGAGCTGTAGGATTATTTGAGGGTTTCCGAAAATAGGAGACCCTAGTATAGCACCGTAAAAAGTAGGATCCTCAATACAAGGACCCCAAAATCAGGTATCCTAAAGCCTAAACCCTACACCCTAAACCGGAAACTCCCATTTGGCTAAAACCCTAAAATCTAAACCTTAAACCCTAAACCCTAAACCCTAAACCGGCAACTCTCATTTTGCGGTTCTTTGGGGTTCAGGGAAAAACGCGATTTCCAGGTGCTCTGCCCCCGGAGGCGAAGCTCTGGACGGAGGTGCGACAGCTTAGGGTTTTAGGGTTTAGGGAATTAGGGGTGTCGGGTTTAGAGCTCAGGGGTTTAGGGTTTTAGGGGATTTAGGGTTTCGGGGTTTAGGGGGTTAGCGGTTTTGGGGTTTTGGGGTTTGGGGGTTTAGGGTTTTGAGGGGTGTGGGGTTTGGGGGTGTAGGGGTTTAGGATGTAGGGGTTTAGGATGTAGGGTTTAGGGCTTTAGGGGTTTAGGGGTTTAGGGTGTAGGGGTTTAGGGGTAAAACCCTAAACCCTAAACCCTAAACCCTAAACCCTAAACCCGGCTTTGGTCGATATCTTCGGGTCGTCTTTGAAGGGTTGTTTTAAGGATCCAGGCCGGTGGGTCTCAAGTACCGATACTACCCTAAGGGTCCATGTGTCTTTGGCCCTAAAGTACCTATAAAGGGATCCTTTAAGGGTTCCTATAGGGGTTATAGTCAAGGGTACTAGAAGGTTTCTATAGGGTTTAGGGCAGTTTAGGGTTTAGGGGTCCAGTTGCCCAAATAGAACATACTTTGGCCCCAAAGTACCTTTCTAGGGACTGCTTTAAGGCCAAAGTATCTACTAGTTGGGTACATGGACCCTTAGGGTTAGTTCTCGGGGTTCCTATAGAAACCACAAGGGTCCGGAGTTTATTCCCAGAAGGGATCTTTGAGGGATCGCTCAAGGCCCACACGGTCTTAAGTACGTAGAAAACAGAGAGCGAGGTGTCTATAATTGGATGTCCAGGTACTTAGATCCTTTGGGAGGTATCTTAGCTGCGTTCATGTAAGGTCTCTGGGTTTGAGGTCTCTTGGAGATTGTGTTGTTCTTTGTTTCGGTGGCGGTATCTAGGTTCCCCAGTAGTACCCTTTTGCCCTTTGTGTTTGTCGGGTCCCTGGTTAAACCCAAACAGTAGGAAAAAGGGTGCCCTTATTGTTAGCGGTCTACTGGGGAACCTAGATATTTTAGATGTTAAGGGTATCTAGGGGCCTAGGCTTTCCGTAAGGCTCTCGGAAGGGCTGTAAGGATTCAAGCTGTTTGGGTTTAGGGCCTCTAGCGTGTAGGGTTTATACGGTTTAGGGCTTCAGACAGAAAGACAGACGGACAGACAGGAAGACAGACGGACGGACAGACACACACACACACAGAGACACACGGAGAGACAGATAGACGCACGAAGGGAAGTGAGAGAGAGAGAGAGAGCGATATATATATATATATATATACACATATTATGTACACACATATATATATATATATGTACATACATATGTATATATATATATGTATATAACATACAGGGACAGACAGAAAGAAAGAGAGAGAGAGACAGATGGACAATGAAATATTGAAGAACATAGCTGGTTATGAGGTTGTACAAGATTCCGACATGTGACATGTGTTTGCGTCGGTGTGTGGAGGTTCTACTGTGGTATCTGAAGTGCACCTCTTGGGATGCAGGTCCTGGCTACTTTTGCATACTCTCGAGAGGCTTCATGGCTTATCGTCTAGACCGAGTCTAGGCATTGAGGGTTTGAGGTTTTTGGCCCTTCCTGACCATTCCATAAAGGCTGCCAAGAATCGTCTGTTCCCGCTTTCAACTTACACCACTGCGGACCCAGGTGGCCAAAAATCTCGGTCACAGTATTGGGGACCTCAAGCCCCACTATATCCCAAAGGCTCCAAATAGACTACCATTCTGGCATTAGGACCCTAAAGCCACAATTACCCTAAACCCTAAACCCTAAACCCTAAACAATAAGTATGCATCCTTTCAGACCTATTTCCATAATGGTGGTCTATATGGAGCCTCTGGGTATGGGAACTTGTGAGTCGAGCTGCTGTAGGCTTGTTTAGGGTTTAGGGTTTAGGGTTTAGGGTTTAGGGTTTAGGGTTTAGGGTTTAGGGTTTAGAGCATGCTGGCCGGGTCTTTGCTCGGTGGCTTTTTGGGGGAGACCTTGGTCAAGTCGTTCGAGGAGGTACGGTTGATGATATAAACCCTGCATTAAATAAGGAATAGACCATAATTCCCATAGTTTAGGGTCCCTAAAGTAATGCAGGATTTTAATCATCAGCCGTAATTTTGGCAAGCGTTCGACCTCACGGCTCACGCTGAGATCTTCAACGCCGACTTCCCAAAGCTGGAGTGGTCGCAGGAGACGGTAGAAACAGCCGTGGAAGCATCGCTGAACTTCGCCCGCAAGGTCCTGGACCCGTGGCCTTTGTTCGCAGAGGGCTACACCAGGACAGGGGCTGAAAAGTCGAGGATTACCTAGAGTCTCCATAGACATTGCCATTACGGAATTAGGTCCCTAAAGCCATAATAAGTATGGTCTTTCGGGACTTACTTCCATAATGACAGTCTATACGGAGCCTCTAAACCCTAAACCCTAAACCCTAAACCCTATAATTCCATAATGGTAGTCTATATGGAGCCTCTAGGTTAGGAATCTTTCAGATTGTCCATGTTCGCCCCTAAACCCTAAACCCTAAACCCTAAACCCTAAACCCTAAACCCTAAACCAAACCGTCCTAAACCCTCCGAGGAGCTTATCGGACCTGGACCAAACATTAAAAAAAATAAAGAAACCGGATCCCTTACTCCCCAACCTCCTAACCCTAAGCCCTTAACCTTTCACCTCTCAACCCTAAACCCTAAACCCCTAAACCCGACACCAATAAACCCTAAACCTTAAACCCCTACACCCTAAATCCCTAAACCCTAAACCCCGAAAACCCCTAACCCCTAAACCTTTCACCTCTGAACCCTAAACCCTAAACTCTAACCTTAAGCAGCCCCAAACGTGACAGTACGAGCTGGAAACCTATCTCGCCAGCAACGGCCAGCGAAAGCCCAGCGCTGCTCGTTCAAACTTAGTCCAGGACATTTTCAGGTGGGTAGTTACCATTATAGGAGCTTCATAGAAGGTCCATATGCCTTATCGAAGCCTTATAGAAGCCCTATATACCCCAAACTCCCCACCTGTAGTTTCCTAAACCCTAAACCCTAAACCCCTTTAAGGAACCCTATAGACCCCTTTAAGGAACCCTTTGAAGGAGCCCTCAACTCTCCCCCCCTGTAGCTTCCTTTAACTTAGGCTTCTGTTAATTGACGAAAACTACAGGTAGACAAAAACCCTACACCACCCGGAACTTTAGGGTTTTTTAGGGTTTTTAGGGTTTTATAGGGTTTAAGGGCTTAGGGCTTAGGGTTTTAGGAAACAACAGGTGGGGAGTTTAGGGTATGTAGAGCTTCTATAAGGCCTCCATTAAGGTATATAAACTTTCTATAAGGCTCCTATAACAGTAACTACCCACCTGAACATGTCCTGGATTTAAGGGTTTCCTCTAAGGGTTCTTGTTTCAGGTTGCCTTTCACTTTTTAAGCAGTACCAACCTACCGTTGTAGGGATTTCTATAGTGAACTTATCAATTGAAACCTTTCAAAGCCCAGAGGCTCCAAATAGACTACCTTAAGAACCCAAAACCTACTTTTTTGTAGGGTCCCTATAAATCCCATATTAGGGTCTATAATAAGAACCTACAAAAAAGTGGGTTTTGGGTTCTTAAGGTACCACTCTGGAATTGGGCCCCAAAACACCATCCTTCTTATGGTTTGGGAGCCTAGTCATAATCCCAAACCCCCAAAAGGATCTAAAAAATAGATCTCCTAAGGGGGTTCCTATAAAGTACTCTTTAGTAGTTAGGGTCCCTAATCAGGGGATCTGTTTTTTAGATCCTTTTGGGGGTCTGGGATAGTCGTGTATATGGAGCCTCTAGGAGGGGCTTGCCATTTAGGGTTCAGGTCATCTCTAGGCCCTAAATCATCCCCGCCTCAGGGCCCTAAACACCCGTCCTTCTGTCTCAATTGACGTTCCTGTCGTTTGGTTAGTCTGGGCTTTGGAGTACTATACCTTTATATTTTTTTGGGGACCTGTTCCTGAAAGGAACCATTATGAAATAAAAGTCTATATTTTTCTCCCTGGTTACTTCAAAGCCCAGTAGACCAGTTGTATACTTTGGGATCCTAGAAAGTACCACAAACTCGAAATGTAATGGAGCCTATAGTATACGTAGACCCTGTCCTGTATACCCCCTGTACACCCAACACCCTAAGGTTCAGGGGTCGGCTTCCGGTTAGGTCTTTGGATTTGCGATTTGGGTGTTGGTGTTTGAAATGCGCGATACGCTACTACGGAAAGTGAAACCTGTACCATGAACGAATGTAGCGACGCGACAATCATACCCAGAGGGTCCGAGTACCCAAATAGTAAGGTTTTTGGTTCCAAAATCCATACTTTGAATGGTTTTTGGACCTTGAAACCCTACTATTTGGGTATTTGGATCCTTAGGGATAGGGTATCATCGAAACAAACAGTCCTTTGGTTGAAAGGTCATGATGGTGCCTGTAGGTACATCTCGAATCCTTTCAACCGAAACCACAAAAAAACCCGTAAACCTCAAGCTCCAAATTTCGACTTTGCGGCTCAACATCGACCTCAACCCCCCTAGACCCCTTCCTTCAGGACGAAATGAACCCTAAAAAGGGTTGATGGTTCATATGTCGTATAGAGATTCATACTGTTGACGGTATAAACTTCCTTACCTTAAGGAACCTAAATTATGGGAGTTATGATATCTTCCTTATTCTGGATCGTGCAGAGTTTATATCATCAACCGTAGTATATGGATATGGGGCCCCTACTTTTACGGGTCAGTTGGTCCCTAGGGTTTAGGGTTTAGGGTTTAGGGTTTAGGGTCGGTGCTTTTCAACCTCGCCGGGCGCAACTGTCCTTCGTCAACCTGTGGTTTGGTATACAGACGTTCAAAGCAACAGTGAAGCTCGTTGAGATGGACTTCTTTGTAGAGAGGGGTTCTATGCAGGGTTAAGAAATGAGGGCTCAGGAATTGGATTCTTGGATAATTTGTCAACCGCAAGACCCCTCAAGGTAGGGTTCGTGCGTGGTTCGTCGTCCTGCAGCTGCATAGCATGAGCATGGTACCCTTGTCATTACGTGATTGTGAAAGAAATTCCATCAGCAGAAGTACGACCTCCATACTTCTAGACCGTGCGGGGTATGCCCTAAACCCAAAACCCCAAACCTGAAAACCCAAAAGCCCCAACCTCTCGGGCCAAACCCTAGACTACAACAATTCTTAAGCCCAAAACCCTTGGCCCGAAATTCTTAGCCCTTGATAAGCTCAAGCGCGAAACTACCTGCATCCCCAAACCCACAAACTATGAGATGTGATGACCTCATAAGATTACGACGACCCTCGAGCAGGGATCTCGAAAAGTTGGTCCTGGAGGATCTGCGGATGAGGTTTCGCAACGTGGGCATCAGTAAGTTTGTGGGTGTACTGCACCCGAGCTACCGCCCGCCCCGACATGGCCAAGCAGCCCTAGATCAGCGGGAAGCCGCCGAAGCAGCGGACGAGCCGAATGATCCAGCGACCCCACTGAAAACTGCAGTGGAAGCACCTTCTCAAAGTCAAGGACCGATATTTGCTGCGAACCCGGAGGTAGGGCTCATGGATCCAAATTAAATCTCAAGCTTGAAACCCCTAAGCCCTAAACCCTAAACCCCTAAGCCCTAAAACCTAAACCCTAAACCCTAAACCCCTAAACCCTAAACCTCAAACCTCTTCAGCTCGTTTTCAGCGCCGCCCAGAAAACCTTTAGAACCTTTAGAGGCCCGTCAAACAGTCCTTACAGACCCCTGAAAAGAATCCTAAACCCAAACCCTAAGGCTCAAAATAGCCCAAAAGCCTTACATAGTATGGTCTTTGGGCCCAAAAGCCTTAAAATATGAGTCCTTAGGAGTCCTTAGAGCCTAAGGGCAATATTGTTTTGGGTGGTTCCTTAGTATAGTTATAGTCTAATGGGCCCCAAAACTCTATTCTAAGTATTGAGGCCCCTATATGACCCCTCCAAGGAACCCTAAACCCTAAGCCCTCAAATCCCGAACCCTAAACTTTAACCCTAAAACCCGTAAACCCCCATTGAAGGAGCCCTAAACCCTAAACATCCCGATCCCGAAACCCTAAACCCTAAACACTGAGCCCGAAATCCTAAACCCTAAACCACCTTTAGAGGAACCCTAAACCCTAAACCCTAAACCCTATAATACCTTTAGAGGAACCCTAAACCCTAAACCCTAAACCCTAAACCTGTTACCCTTAAAGGAACCCTAAACCCTAAACCCTAAACCCCTATATTACCCTTAAAGGAACCCTAAACCCTAAACCCTATACCCTATATTACCCTTAAAGGAATCCTAAACCTAAACCCTAAACTCTATATTACCCTTAAAGGAACCCTAAACCCTAAACCCTAAACCTTATATTACCTTTAAAGGAACCCTAAACCGCAAACCCTGAACCCTAAACTCTAAACCCTAAACCCAAAACCCTAAACCCCCCTTAAAAGAACCCTAAACCCTATAAACCCTAAACCCTAAACCCTATGTTACCTTTAAAGGAGCCCTGCCAAGGACCTGGCCAAGGATGGCAAGGACTCCTCCGGCCGTGGCCCGGTGAACTGCGAGCTGCTAACGAAGACCAGGTCCCCTCGTTTTGGGGGTTTAGGATTTAGGGTTCCTTTAAAGGTACTACAGGGGCCTTATTCATGACAGGGCTTAGGGTTCCTTAAGGGTTGAGGGGTTAAGGTTTAGGCTGGCTTTTAGGGGTTTTGGGTTCCTTAAAAGTTTAGGGTTTGGGGGGGAGGGTTCCTAAAAGTTTGGGGTTTAGGGTTTATGAAAGGTTTAGGTTCCTTAAAGGTTTAGGGGTTTTGCGCTTCAGGGCTTTTAGGAATGAGGGTTATTCAGGGTTTCGGGTTAAGGGTTTTGGTTTAGAGTTCCTTAAAGGTGTAGCATTTAGGGGTTTAGCAGGTGTTTGCTTTTAGGGTTTCGGGAAAGTTTAGGGTTTAGGGGTTTAGGGTTCCTCAAAGGGGGTCTAGGGGTTTAGGGTTCCTTAGAAGTTTAGGATTTAGGGCTCCGGGTTTAGGGTTCCTTGCAGGTTTAGGGTTTAGGGGTTTGGGGTTCAGGGTTTATGGGTTAGGGTTCCTTAAAGGGTATTTTTTGGGGTTTAGGGGTTTAGGGTTCCTGAAAGGGGGTTTAGGGTTCCTTAAAAGTTTAGGATTTTGCGCTTTAGGGGTTTAGGGTTCCTTAAACGTTTAGGGTTTAGGGTTTAGGGGTTAGGGTTCCTCAAAGGGTATTTTCTGGGGTTTAGGGGTTTAGGGTTCCTTAAAGCGGGTTTAGGGGTTTAGGGGTTTAGGCTTCCTTAAAGGGGGTTTAGGGGTTTAGGCTTCCTTAAAGGGGGTTTAGGGGTTTAGGAGTTTAGGGTTCCATAGAGGGCGTTTAAGGGTTTAGGGTTCCTTTAAAGGGAATACAGGGCCCTAATAGTTAGAATAGGAGGTTCACCTGCCATGTGATGTTCACAAGACCTCCACTGCTACGACGTACATGTTCCAATCTGGCTCCGACGACTGTGTCAGCTATCATCAACTTCGGTTTGCTGTTTCGTCCTGCAGGATCGTTGGCCAATTTCCGCTGGTGCTTGATGGAGGAAATCAAAAGCGATTTTGAGGTGGTCGGCCTGAGCATTTGTCTCATTACCGACAAGAAGTGTACAAGGTTTTTCTCAGTTTCAGTCACAGCAACAGGGATGCGCAACGTCGGTCGCAATTTGTCCGAGCTTGGCAGAAACAGCTTCTTTATGAACGGGGATTTGCAGAGCGAAACAGTGACATGGTACGCTCATGTCGAGAGAGAGCAAGCTCTCGCTCTTTTTAGCAAATTCGTGCCCGCAGCACTGCTTCCGCGAGCAGTTCCCATATTCCCACGTCATAGGTGGCATGGATGCGAAGTTCCGATTGACTTGTTGGGGCTGCTAGACTCCCATTGCAACTTGTTGCAGAGGGCCGCCAAGAGATTTGTGAAGAGCTTCGAGTCTGAGAAAGCGGCTAAGTCCTCGACAGAACCACCGCGTGCAGCAGACGCTGCTAATGGTTGGCAGGAAGCATGTGCTCGCTTCCTTGTGTTGCAGTCTGCTGCGGAAGGGGAGGCTTTGGAGGTTGATGCTGATGCAGCTCAGCCAACCGCTCCAGATGATCCAGAAGCTTTGGTTGGGGGCGCTGAAGATGGGATTTAGGGTTTAAGGGTTTGGGGTTCCCGGTTTAGGGTTCCTTAATGGGGGTTTAGGGGTTTTAGGGTTTCGGGTTTAGGGTTCCTTAAAAGTTTAGGATTTTGGGTTTAGGCTTTTAGGGTTCCTTAAAGGTGTAGCGTTTTAGCGGTTTAGGAGGGGTTTAGGGTTTAGGGTTCCAAAAAGGTTTAGGGTTTAGGTTTAGGGTTATTCAGGGTTTAGGGGGCTTAGGGCTTTTGGGGTTTAGGGTCCAGGGTTCACGGGTTTACGGCTTTAAGGTTTGAAGATTTCGAGAACTGGGTTGCTACGGATCCTTAGTAATATAGGGGCCTTAATAATTAGAAGAGGGTTTTGGTGCCCATTATACTATACTTATAAAGAGGAACCCCCCCAAACAATATTGGTAATTATTGAGGCCACTACATTATGTGGGTTTAGCGTTTAGGGGGTGCTGTATGGGGTCTACTTGGAGGATCATGGGACTTAGTAAGTAGGGTTATAAGTGCCTTAATTGGGGCTATAAGTAATTATAAGTATAGTTACCTTGATTATAACCCCAGTTAATAAGTCCCATGATCCTTTAGGTAAACCCTAAGCCCTAAACCCCTGAACCCTAAACCCTAAACCCTAAACCCCAAACCCTAAAGTTAATAAGTCCCATGATCCTCTAAGTATGTTTTTAGAAGGGTCCAAGTGCCCAAACAGGAGGTTTTATAAGGAAGGGTTGGCCGCTCCCTAACCCTAAACCCTGAACCCTAAACCCTAAACCACTACGAACTGGCTGCTTGGAAAATCTACTCCGGGAGAGGGACAGAGAGACTAAGAAAGAGAGTGCCAGAGATGGAGTGAGACCCTAAACCCTAAACCCTAAACCCTGATTCTAGAGTTTGGCATTTTGGGTTTTAGGGTTTGTGTATACAGGTCTGGTGGTCTGAAAGGTAGCCGCTATGCTTGAGTGGTATCTAGGCCTGTCAGTCTAGGCACTAGACGGCGCATTTCTATAACCCTGCCGGGAGCCACGATGGATGACATAAAATTTGCATTATCCATAGCTTGGAATATGCCATAGTTCCCATAGTGTAGGATGATTAAGGTAATGCAGAGTTTATATCATAATCAGGAATATGCCATAATTCCCATAGTTTAGGCTCCTTAAGCTCATGCAGGATTTGTATCATCAATAGTAGGTCTTCGTAGCAAGATCAACAAGTGCAGCGACAGCAGAACGATGCGTCTGGCAGACTTTGGCATCACACAGGCTCTTCATGCACGAATACCTTCAAGGTGAATGTGCTTCAAGAAGCCTTCTGTTTAGGCTTTATGGTTTAGGGGTTTAGGGTTAGGGTTTATGGTTTAGGGTTTGGGGAACCCCAATACGTTCAGGGTGGAATGTGCTTCAAGAAGCCTTCTGTTCTACTGAACCTACTTGGAGGTTCATGGGTAGTTCTAAGTGGGGTTATAATTACGGTAACTATAGTGATAACCCATATTAAGGGACCTGTAACCCCACTTATACCTACCCATGAACCTCCAAGTATCCCCTAAACCCTTACAACCACCAGATGTCTAATCTCAAGACTCAAACTCTGAAGGTGCGGGACCCTAAACCCTAAACCGTTTCGGGACTGAAGACCCTAAGCCCTAAACCGCAAATCCTAAACGCCAATATAAGCCCTGAAATCCTAAACCCTACAGAGCCGTAAACCCCAAATCCCAAATCTTACACCCCAGACCTCCAACCCTAAAGCCGCCTTCAGGGCTTGATATAGGGGCCTTAATAACTAGAATAGCGTCTAATAGCCCGGGTTCCTTTTAAGGGGTTCCTTCAAGGGATACTATAAGGGCTGCTATAAGGGCTACTATAAGGGTTTAGGGGCCTAATAATTCGAACAAGGTTTTTGGGGGCCCATGATGCTATAGCTATACTAATAGGGAAGCCCCCAAACTAGTCTTGCTAACTATTTAGGCCCCTAGATGAGGCCTACAAGCCAATCTCGTCTCCAGTGGCTCGTCCTGAGTGCTCAAGAGCTCCTCATGGTACCAGTTCAGCACCTAAGAACCGAGGGCGGGGTAATGTAGGGGCCCGAATGACCCTAAACCCTAAACCGACTACCAATACTATTTTAAGGGCTCCCTATTTTTTAGGGACCCCTAGGAGGGACCCCTAATCCAAATACTCTATATAACCCTTACAAAACCCTTCATATAGTTTCATAAAGCCCCTATAACCTCAAGGGTCCCTTTAAGGGTCCCTCCTTCAGTCCCTTGAGTCTCACGTAGGGGCCCAAACGACTACCAAGACTATTTTGAAGGCTCCCCTATTTTACTTTAATACAATGGGCTCCTAAGGCCCCTATATGAGGAGGGGTTCCTTGAAGAGTTCCTTGAAGGGCTACTTTTGAGAAACATGGGATTCTATAGGCTATGGGGGTTCGGGTGCCATAACAATTCGGGTCACTCTTAAAAAAGTACTAAAGGTTTTGATATTAAGGTCCTAAACCCTAAACTTTGAAGGGGTTCTTGTGAACCATATCAAGGGTGTTGAGGCCTTTATTGTATATGGGGTCGTATTCGGGTTTAGAAACGCGAATAACGAGAACCATATTTTCTGGCGATGACGGAACTGCGGAGGGTATACTGAGAGAAGATAGATAGAAGGACTTCAAGGGGATGTTGTTACTTCATAGCGCTTCAGACCCCAGACCCTATTATAATGTAGGGGCCTAAATAATTACCGACACAATTTTGGGGGTTCTTTATTATAACTATAGCATAATGGACCCCAAAACCCTATTCTGATGATTAAGGCCCCTATACCCTAAACCCTTACAGCAGACCTTATAGTATCACTTAAAGGAACCCTTCAAAACCCTATTCTAGTTATTCAGGCCCCTATAGTAAGCCCTTGACCTCAAACCCTAAACCCCCAACACACCTGCGGGGGAGAGGGGAGATGGCGCTTTCTCCGCATGCCGATTTCAAAGCCCACCCTTCCTATACTGAACTTAGACCCCTAGCAAAAATTATAATTTTAGATGCTTCTTAGGGTTTATATTAGCCAAAGATTAAAAAATATTTCGAAGTACCCCTAAGCTTCTAGGAGTGTGTAGGGGTTTGGGGTATAGGGGTTTGAGGTTTCAGGGTGTGGGGGTTTTAGGTTTCACGGTTCGGGAATTTAAGATTAGGTTTCAGGGACTTGGGGGTTTAGGGCCGTTTCGGGTTTGCGTTCATGCCCGACTGTGGAATCGACATCAGCAAAGAAGGCCGAAATCCGGAACAAAAACACCTTAGTACATTAATCAAACTCCTAAACCCTAAACCCCTAAACCCCTAACCCCTAAACCCTCAACCCTAAGCCTTAAACTCCTAAATCCTACAGCCCTGCACGCCTCAACCCCCGAAAGCTAAGCCCTACACTCCGAA